GCGCCTCGCCCTCGCGGCCGCCCGCTTGCGACTTGCGCTTTGCTGGGGTGGCCATGTTCCAGCCATCCCGAGGCCTTGCGCTGCTTCAGGCCGCCTCGATAGGGTCGAAGTCGATGGGGTCGGCGGATCTCGCCGCATCGACGATGCACCGGCGATGCTGCTCGATGTGAAGCCCAGTTCTCTCCACGCCGTTGACGCCGATGCATCGCCGACGTCGCCGATGCATCGGCGATGCTGCGCTGTTGGCCCAAGGTTGGCATGCTCCAGTCACCCCGAGGGAGTCAGCATGAGGAGAAAGGAGTCCCGATGGAGAAGGATGATGAGGAAAAGGAGACCTGAGGGAGAGGGACGCTGAGGGGATAGTGTCCTGCGGGTGAGGGGTGCTGGAGGAAAGGGGTCCGAAGGGAAAGGGACCCGTCGTCCTGGCAGGCGCCAGTCGGCCCCCGGCCCGGGCGACGCGTCGGAGGTCCTCCAAAGATGTCAAGCATGAACAGGGACCTTACTAATGGATCCTCGATCCTTTCCTCCCCCGTCGTCCTAATGCTGGGGTTCTCCCCCCAAGAAGCCCCACCCACCCCACACCCCACTTGGAGAGGACGATAAAGAGGAGGGGGGTTGTCGAGGATCTAGGCTTGGGGTCGACGTTCGATTTTCGAGGATCGAGGCTTCTGGGAGTGTTGGATTCTTTTTGGGCCCCCTGGGGTGCCCGTGCCTCCTCGGCTGGATTCCTTCTGAAGTCGTGGTCGGAGCTAGCCCTGAGACATTTAGGGGGGGCATAAATTGTGTCAGGGGTTGTGGTTGGTGGGCCCACTTCCCTGCGCGCCAGGGGTCAGGGTGACGTGAGCTCACAAGGCAGACTTCCTAAAAGTGTGATGTCGATGCTGGCTCATCCCAATCCTTGTTGCCAGCATGCAAAGTCAGCCGGGCCTTGTATGCGCATGCTTTTTTCTCATGGTTACTTATATTAGCTCGGTGATGGATGTTCGTTTCGGTTTCAACGGCTTGGTTGCAAAACCATCGGGGGATGTGCCAGTACACGTCGTCAACCTGGATCATCACAACGGAGAGTTCACGTTCCAAGGTCTGATCTCCTGGGCTGCGTGGTAAAGACACTTTCGAAGGGTTTCGTTCCGTGGCTTCCTGGCAGTCTACGAGACGAGTATAGGAAATTGTGGTTTGATGCGGCATCTCAAGACTCACGGTACTTCACCCGTACATTAATGGTTTTTGTATGGCGATGTTCTCTTCCGAGTTGTGTACACGGTGTTCAGGGCTAGCAGGGCGATGTACAACAGGATATTGGGAGCGTGCATGCTTGCATTACACGTGTTCCAGAGTTTGCGTGTTTCCGTTTGCGGCAGTTCCTAAGATCCAATTATTTGGATCTAAGCGCAAACGAGTCATGCACCATTGCTGTAGTTATCGCTGCATTCCCAACGCCTGCAGAGAGCTATTTAGGCCCACTGCACGGGACTTTTTATGGCGAGGTATTGTCAGTGTGACGCGGCGCACTTATTTGAAAAAGGAGCGACGCGAGAACGAACGCACGTGTAGAAGCAGCAGCAAGTTCGTAAGCAGAAGGTTTCGGAGCCCCGCGCAGGGTTCTTGGATCGGCGCTCGGCCTCCCTCGAAGCGCGCCAGGGGCGGCGTCGCAGGCGCCTCCAGGGGGGGCCAGCTCCGATCCAGGAAATCCGAGCGGAGCTCCGAAAGTTTGAGTGTGTGCCTGCGGTTGTCCCCCCTAACGGAGGGTGCTTCTGTTGCGACGATCGAGTTGTGCGTGGATTTGGTTTGATACACGCGCCCCCAACGGGGGCATGCGCGGCCGCCCAACGAATTTTGGGAATGGCGCCCGTTCGGAATATTGGCGTTTGCTTGTGTCCGATGACCGTAGAGGCCAGTGGCATGTCAGGGTATATGTTATACAGAGATGCCCGTGTGGGTTGAGCATAACGGACGTAGCACGTAGGTTCAAAAGGATCTTGGTTGAGTTTAGGGGCGAGGGTGCCATCAGGTTCTCCCGTGCGCTCGCGTTGGATCGCATCCAGAATTGTCTCTGGTGTAGGGAAGTGGGCATACAGCCAGAATGCGGATGGGCTCTTTCTGGGTGTCCGCATATGTCCAGATGGGTTGCGCGAGACGGCCACAGCCAGAAACGGGTGTTGGTGTAGCTTGGGTATGGGGATGCCAGGGGGGCCTACGGTAGGGAGGCGACGGACTCGTGAAGGCCATTGGCGTTATTGAGTGGACGGTCTCAGCGCTTGGAGATGACGGGCCCGAAGCAGGGTGTGCAATTTGATGCACTGTAGGTCGTCGGACTCGTGGAGGCCGGCGGCATGGCAGGGTCTACGCTGTGAGTTCTCGGAGGTGCCCAGGTGGCTCCGCTTGACGTGTGCAGACGGCGTAGCCTTCAGAGGGTTCGGGTTGATATTAGGGGCGAGGGTGCCAACAGCCGCTCCCACATGCTCCAGTGGCAATTGTAGGAAGAACGGTCCAAGCTGCAGATGGTGGGCGTGTAGTAGGGACGGCCCGATTGTTGTGTGCGGAATTGTTGTGCGTTCCCCCGTGGCCAAGGGGGGATGTAACATAGATGCGTTATGGTGCGTGGGGGTGAGCGCGGTCGTAGGTTTGAATGGGTCGCACGTGTGCTTTTGCATGTAATCGCAGGCGGTTTGCGAAGGACGTCGCGCGACTTGGTGGGTTGCGCGCAACGACCGTAGCTTTTTGGAGGGGTCCAGAGGGTGGCTAGTTACCTACGGTAGGAAGGCGGACTCGTGGAGGCGAGTGGAATTGCAGGGTTGGCGTTTCCAGGTGCTCGTGGGGGAGAAGTAGCCAAGACGGTTCCGATGCATGGGTGTGGGATGGTAGCAGATACTCTCCGACGAGTAGGTTGCGAAAGTTGCGTGCGCTACCAAGTTCTGGATCCAGGCGGGGGAGGGTCGCAGTGACATGAGGGTAGCAGCATGTTGACGGAACAGTCCTGCGGTTCCACCCTCTCTGGCCGCGGGGGCGGCCCCAATTTGAAGGGTCCAGCCCCCCCCCCCCCTCGGGCAGGGCCCTCCCCCCCAGGAGGAATGAGGAGAAGGCGCAGGAGGAGAAGGAGGAGGAGGAGGCGGAGAAGAGGAGGAGGAGGAGAAGGAGGGGGCAGGACGAGTGAGGAGGAGGATGCGGAGGAAGAAGAGGAGGAGGAGGATGAGGAGGAAAAGAAAGAGGACGAGTTGGAGGAGGAGGAGGAGGAGGAGGAGGAGGAGGAGGAGGAGGGGAGAGAGGGAGGAGGAGGAGGACGAGGACGAGGAGGAGGAGGAGGAGGAGACGAGGAGGAGGAGGAGGAGGAGGAGAGGAGGAGGAGGAGGAGGAGGAGGAGGAGAGGAGGAGGAGGAGGGAGAGGAGGAGGAGGAGGAGGGAGGGAGGAGGGAGGTGGATGAGGAGGAGGGAGGAGGGGGGAGGGAAGAGGCAGGAGGCAGGAGGATGAGGATGAGAAGGAGGAAACGGGAGGAGGATGAGGAGGATGAGGAGGAGGAGGAGGATGAGGAGGAGGGGGAGGAGGAGGAGGAGGAGGAGGCGGAGGAGGAGGAGGAGGAGGAGGAGGAGGAGGGAGGAGGAGGAGGAGGGGCGAAGACGACGCGGACGAGGACGAGCACGAGGACGACCAGAAGGAGGAAGGAGGAGGAGGAGGAGGAGGAGGAGGAGGAGGAATGAGGAGGATGAGGAGGACGGAGGAGGGATGAAGGAGGATGGAGGAGGGGGAGGAGAGGGAGAAGGAGGGAGGAGAGTGAGCAGGAGGGAGGAAGGAGGGGAGGATGAAGGAGGAAGGAAGGAGGAGGAAGGAGGGAGGCGGTGCAGGAGGAGGATGAGGTGGAGGCGGAGGAGGAGGAGGAGGAGGATGAGGGAGAAGGATCCCGAAGACGAGGACGAGGATGCGGAGGGAGGATGAGGAGGAGTATGAAGAGGCGGCGGAGTAGGAGGAGGGACGAGGACGAGGACGAGGACGAGGATGAGGACGAAGATGAGAAGGAGGGATGAGGGAGGAGGGAGGAGGGAGGAGGGAGGAGGGAGAATAAAGGAGGGAGGAGGGAGGAGGGAGGAGGAGGAGGCGGCGGATTAGGAGGAGGAGGCTGAGGGACAAGGATGAGCATGAGGATGATGATGAGCATGATGATGGTGATGCTGATGATGACGCTGACCATGATGGTGATAAGGAGGAGGAGGACGACGACGACGACGACGAGGACGAGGACGAGGACGAGGTCGAACAGGATGATGAGTATGAGGAGGATCAGTGGAAACCCAAGAGTCATCAACGATGTTGGAATTGACCCTCCCTCCAAGCTCCCTCTTCATGTGCCCCTAAAACAGTTCATTCCCACTGAGGGAATTGCCTCGTTGGAAAAAACAGTTTGAAGATCCGGAAGCGTGCCAAAACATTGCCCGCTGGATGACAACGCCACGTATCAACCTGACTGCTGCGTCTTGACGATGCAGAATCAGTTCAGAACGCCATTTTGGGGACTTCAACACAGCGAATCAACATAACTGTTGCGCCCGCAGTACCCTGAATCCCTCCAACACGCTCTTTCTGGTAGGTTGATCATGGGAACCCGTGAAGCTCTTGCAAGTGTTTTAAACAAATGTGCGCGGCGCTAAGGCGAGAGCCACATGTTGAAAGGGAGCCGCCCTCAATTCGTGACACTCTTATGATTTGTTACAACGAATGTGCGCGGCGCTCAGGCGAGAGCCACAGTTTGCAAATTCTGAAAAGAAATAACAAATATGCGCGGCGATAAGGCGAGGGCCAAATTTTGAGAACCAGCCGCCCTCAATTCCTGAAACTCTGATTAACTGTTCAAACGAGTGTGCGCGGCGCTAGGGCGGGAGCCAATTCGTGAAACTCTTGCAAACTGTTAAAACGAATTTGCGCGACGCCAAGGCGAGAGCCACATGTTGAAAAATCACCGCCCTCAATCCGTGAAGCTCTTGCACATGTTTTAAACGAATGTGCTCGG